CCCATGCCGAGTGAATCTCCGCAGCTTCTCCGGGTCGCGCGCCGACTTTAAAGATGGAAAGGGTCTGGGTCTCCTACTGTTTCTAGCGCGTCTGTCAGGTCTGTGGCTGCTGAATCGGCAACCCGGCCGAAGAAAGCCTACAACGCTCCATAACGGCCCTCCACCCCTATCTTCAGTGGCTGGCCCTGGGTTTTGATTTGTTCCTTCCAGTCCGCTCTGCTCTCCGGTTTACCTCTTGGTAACTAGCAGCCTTGACTGTGTGCACCACCCACCCGGGGAGGGAGCGGAAGTTCTGTGCTGGTGTCTTAGCCCTCTTTTGTCCTCTCGGCTCCCAGCGAGGGACTTTGAAAGTAGCAAGTGGTTCAGTGACCACAGAATCTCCAGAGGAGTGCTCCAGAGGTGGAAGAAGATGCCCGAGTGATAGCTGGCCTTCGTGGTTCCTTAAAACGCCTGTTCCATAGAGCCCCAATCAGCAGAACCTGTGGAAGAGCCCCAGTTCCGGGTGGTGGGATCGTAGACCCTACTCCTGCATAGTGGAGAACTTCACAGTTCGCCTCAATGGCCCTTGGAAACAATGCCTTTCAGTCGGACCAGGCAGCCTTTCTGAAGCTCCTTTCTCACTGCCGCAGACCTAGGAACCTAGATTTTTAATGCACAATTATCTAGGATTTTGTGAGGCTCTTACCAAAGAACTTAACAAGTTATTTCCCCACTCATCTTAGCATCTGGGGGGAAATAGCAACGTAGGAATTAATTTAAATTTCTTCTGTGTCAGAGACTGGGTCAATGCCAGGCACCTAACATATGCTTAAGAAATGTTGGCTGGGTTGATTGGCCTAATTGGTTGCTCAGTGGAGCAGGGGCAGGCCTTTTGCCTCTTCAGGATTCCCAGTGGGCTTCTAGGATCAATTGCTTATGGACTGGACATGGTAAGGTGATCTGGGAATCAGAGACCCTTCCTTATTCCTTCATATACTCATTTAACAATTATTTATTGAGTGTCTACTATGTGCCATTTTTGCAGGCCTCAGTTCAAATCTCAGTTCTGCCTTTTTTTTTTTGTTGAGGGCTTGACTTCAACAATACTCACAACCTGTCATTTTCTCATCTAGAAAAGGAGACTAGTATCTGTCCTGTCTCATGAGGTTATGGTGAAGATTAAAATGATGAGGTAATGCATCTTGAATGTTTTCTATGATGCAGCTGGATGTTATCTGGGCTACTAAGAAACTGGGTCTGCTCCATCCTGACCCTCAAAGTCTGTAAAGAGTCTGCGCACCGGGTATGAGTGAGTACATGACTTTTTTACTTTTCAGTCCTAGACTTGCATTCCTAAGAAGGCTTTTACAAGGTTGAAGGGCACATTTAAAAGAGTCCTGATATAATAACACAACTGGTGGTGCCCAAGTCAGGTCAATTCTACATCTTTAGCTCTTTTAGTTAGCCTCTTCCCATCCCTGTTACTGCTCTGTTTCACTACTCTCTCATTCCCATGACTGAAAATGGCCTTCTGCACTTTGGTGTCTCTACAATGTCATATGAGACTTGATGCCACTCTTGTGATGAAAATCCTTTAGTGTCTTATCATCCAAGATCAATTTCAAATACCTTAATTTGGGTCCTCATTTATTGTGCCAGCCTCATCTGCTGTCACCTCCTCCATATACTCTAAGCTACTCCTTGAAATGATTCTCAGTGTTTGCCCAGGTGAGACAGGCTCTCTGATCCCCCTGGAGTCCTTGCAAGTTTTCCTCTCTGCCTGCAGTGCTTGTTTCCCTCATCTCTAGTTAGATGGGAAATCACTACTCATCCTTAGGCATGTTACTTAACCTCTCTGTGCCTCATGTTACTCTATCTGTAAAATAGTGCTAATAATACCCATTCAGCAGGATTATTGTGAAGACTAAATAGCAAAACCCCTGAGAAGCTCCTGAAATGTAGTTGGTACTTAGGATGGACCTCATGGCTATAGGGTGCCCTCTCTATATATTTGTTGAATCAACTCAGCAGAACTCAGAAAGGGTGCTAATAAGTACTATACTATACACCTACTAGGTGCCAAATACTGTCCTAGAAAGGGCTGCCATTTTCGTGATCTAAATGGGAGTCTTAATTGTTGCTCTTCAGGGACAAATGTACTGAGCCCACAAACGTTGGGGGCCTGTCCCTTACTCCGGTGTTCAGTAAAGACTCAGTGCGATGTCGCCCCGGTCCTTCCTTGATCATAGCCCTAGGGCAAGCTCAGGCTCCCTCTCGAAACCAGCATCACTCCTGTGTACGCTACTTTGCTTTCTCTGCTCTGATGGGGAGCAAACAGCTCTCACCCGGGCTGACTTCTCAGCAGGCCGCCTCCAATCCACCAGCTGAAGTAGCCCCGCCCACCTCGCTCCCCTGGGGGCGGGACCTGAGGCGTCTTGCTGTCGTCACTTCCAGCGGACCCGGAAGCGCCGTTGTCGCGCCGCTAGAGTTAGGAAGTCGGATGGGGCTACGCTTAGCTTAAACGTTCGGCAGATCGTGCGCCAAGAGCCGTTGCGTGCTGCTGTGGCCCGGGCGAGCAGGGCTCGTGGAGCGGCTTCTGGGATAGTGCAGGCGAGCCCTGGCAGTGTGCCCCTCTGGTGCCACCGTCGCCCCGCCTCTAGGATAGGACCCGACCCCGCCCTCCAGCCAGGGGTCCTGGCAGGCGCTTCTGCCAGGCTGCCCCGCCGCCCAGCATCCGGTATAGTACAGCTGTGAGGAGTGGATGTGCTGCTGCGGGGACAACTCTGTCCCCGTCGGTTACAACTCTGTCCCCGTCGGTTACAGCCCCCGCCAGCGGCTTCGTGACCCTCTCCCAGGCTGTCCGAACGCTGACGTGGAGCAACCCATCCTGAACCCTCATGGAGAAGTTTGGGATGAATTTCGGGGGCGGCCCAAGCAAGAAGGACCTGCTGGAGACCATTGAAACTCAGAAGAAGCAGCTCCTCCAGTACCAGGCACGTCTCAAGGATGTAGTCCGCGCCTATAAAAGCCTACTGAAAGAGAAAGAGGCACTGGAGGCCAGCATCAAGGTGCTGTCCGTATCCCACGAGGCGGATGTGGGCCTCGCAAGTGTCCAGCCTCAAGGCCTCACCTTTCCTGACTCCGTGGATGACCGATGCTCCACTCACAGCGAGGATAGCACTGGGACCGCCACCAGCTTGGATACTGCGGCCAGTCTCACCAGCACCAAGGGTGAGTTTGGGGTAGAAGATGACAGACTGGCCCGCGGCCCGCCACCTCCAAAGTTCGAAGAGGCTAGCGGGTCGGAGAGTGGTGTTAGCAGTAGTAGTGGGGATGGACCGTCTGGGGGTGGGGAGGTGGACAAACGACTGCACCAGCTGAAGACTCAGTTAGCGACTTTGACCAGCTCTTTGGCTACAGTCACCCAGGAGAAGTCCCGTATGGAAGCTTCTTATCTGGCGGACAAAAAGAAGATGAAACAGGACTTAGAGGATGCCAGTAAAAAGGCAGAGGAGGAGAGGGGTCGTCTGGAGGGAGAGTTGAAGGGGCTTCAGGAGCAAATAGCAGAAACCAAAGCCCGACTTATCACACAACAGCACGATCGGGCCCAAGAGCAGAGTGACCATGCCTTGATGCTGCGTGAGCTCCAGAAACTGCTGCAGGAGGAGAGGACTCAGCGTCAGGACTTGGAGCTCCGGTTGGAAGAGACCCGGGAAGCCCTGGCTGGGCGGGCCTATGCGGCCGGTCAGATGGAGGGGTTTGAACTGCAGACCAAGCAGCTGACCCATGAGGTGGAGGAGCTGAAAGGCCAGCTGCAGGCTCTTCGAGAGGAGAAGAATCGGCCTGACCCCCGGCTGCAGGAGCTCCAGGAAGAGGCTGCCTGCCTTAAGAGCCATTTCCAGGCTCAGTTGCAACAGGAAATGAGGAAGGTAATTATCTTCATCATCTTCAAACATTAGTCATTTAGCCTGAAGTGGGGGAATATTAGGGTTTTTTTTTTTCCTTTTCTCGTCTGGTAGTTAGAACTAAATGGCAGTACTGTCGATTTTTCACGCTATTTGGAAAGTTTCACTTGTGAGTCCTGGGATATCCTTTTCTGTGTGGTGTTGACAGTGTCAGAGGAGTGTGCTTCTGACGGTGTGGAGTTTCTGAGTGTAGGCTGGGTTGGAGCCAGACAGCTCTGAACATCTGGGCATTGGCATCTTACCAGCTGTGCTCTGTGAAGCAGTAGAGGGGCAGCGGTGCAGTGAAAAGTAGAGTGTATGCTTACAGGGATATATGCCTGTATAGGCAGCGGTATATGCCTATAGGTGAGTGACTGAAGGGGGCAAAGAGAATTTTCTCAGACAAAATAACTTCGTGTAATTGCTTGCAGTCAGCATTTGCCTTGTCTGTGTCAACTGGAAAAAAAAAAAGCACAACCTAGAAGTTGAGAATTAATTTTGTTGTATTTGGTGGACAAATGTGAGGACTTAGGCCTGGAGGATAGCCTCTCAGATAGCTCTCGGGGACTGCTCTGAAGAGGTAGGAGGAGCCAGGCTGTATAGGAGTTTTGCAACAAAAACCAGGTAGTCGGAACATCAGAAGATTACTGTTAATTAAAACCAGACATCTCAAGTTAATGAATTTAGCTCTTTTCTATGTATGGGAAGATGCAGAGTCTGGGCTCATTGAAATCATTCCTTTGATATGTACCTTGACTGTCTAGCACCAGGGTCCTGCTTTTCTCCATCCTGAATCCTCAGGGTGCACAGTTGAGGGGCGGCTGCAGGGGCTGCTGGCTTGATGGCTGCAACTTCCTTTGTTTACTGATATGGAAGGCAATCCACATCTGGAATGATATGCTATTTTATAGTGCCTCCTTTCAGTGTGGGGAGAGATCCAACTCAATTTTGAACTTCTAGGAATATTGAAAGAGGAAAAGGATGTCATATGATTTCTTCATGGGATTTGGGGAAGCACATGGTTAACAAAGAACACACTTTGTTTATGAGCTTGGTGTATGAGAGGAGAAAGTGGAAACACAGAACAGCGGCAGATCTACAAAGATTCATAATATTGTTTGGTAGATGTAAGTCTGGGAGCAGAACCTAAACAGGTTATAGGAACTTCGGTTAGCTCCCAAATCAACAGGAGAACTCCCAGTTCCCATTTTTACCAGGCTACCTCCACCCCGTGACCCTTTTGCTCCCCTTTCTTGCTTTCTCAGTTTGCCATCCGGCCTCATGTCTTGTCTGGCTGCATGTCCACCTGTTCCCTTGTTTTCCAGACGGCCCTTGCCGAGGATCAGCTACGCCAGCAATCACAGGTGGAAGAGCAGAGGGTGGCAGCCCTGGAGAATCAAATATCCGAGGTGTCGGAGCTGCTAGGCACATATGAGAAAGCCAAGCAGAAGGACCAGCTGGCCATCCAGAAGCTGAAGGAGCGCATCCTGCAGCTGGACCTGGAGAACAAGACGCTGGCGCTAGCGGCCTCCAGCCGATCCCCTCTGGACAGCCATGGAGAGGATTCCAGCCTGGATGTCAATGTCCTGAAGGACAAGATGGAGAAGTTGAAGAGGCTGCTGCAGGTTGCAGCCCGGAAGAGCCAGGTGACCTTGGACGTGGAGAAGCTCTGTGACCTAGAGATGATGCCCAGCTCAGAGGCTGCCGACGGGGAAAAGGCCACCGCGCTCTACTACCAGCAGGAGCTGAAACAGCTGAAGGAGGAGTTTGAGAGGTACAAGATGCGGGCCCAGGTGGTCCTCAAGAGCAAGAACGCCAGAGATGGCAACCTGGGCAAGGAGCTGGAGGAAGCCCAGGAGCAGCTTGCAGAGCTGAAGGAGAAGTACATCTCCCTGCGGCTGTCCTGCGAGGAGCTCGAGCGCCAGCACCAGCAGGAGGCCGAGGACTGGAAGCAGGAGCTGGCCCGGCTGCAGCACGCCCACCGGCAGGAGCTGGAGCGGAGCCAGCTGGACTTCAGGGACCGCACGCTGAAGCTGGAGGAGGAGCTGCACAAGCAGCGGGACCGCGCCCTGGCCGTGCTGGCTGAGAAGGACCTGGAGCTGGAGCAGCTGCGTTCCGTGGCCTTGTCCGCCGGGCTGCCGGGACGCCGAAGCCCTGTGGGCGGCGTGGGTCCTGGGGACCCCGGTGACACGTCTTCCCCAGATAGCCTGACCCAAGCCCTGCAGCTGGCAGCGGCCAATGAGCCCACTTTCTTCCTGTACGCCGAGCAGTTGGCCCGCAAGGAGGTGGAGATCACGTCGCTGAGGAAGCAGAAACACAGGCTGGAGGTGGAGGTGCATCGGCTGCAGGATCGGCTGCTGGAGCAGGGGGAGCGGCATCGGGAGGAGGTCGCTGCCCTGCAGAGCCACATCGAAAAGAACATGAGGGACCAGAGTCGGGAGGGAGCCAACCTGGAGTACCTCAAGAACATCATCTACCGCTTCCTGACCTTGCCAGACACACTGGGCCGCCAGCAGACGCTCACAGCCATCCTGACTATCTTGCACTTCAGTCCAGAGGAGAAACAAGTAATCATGCGGCTCCCAACCAGTGGTAGTTGGTGGTCTTCTGGCAAAAGATGATGCCGTTTGCACTAACTCCTCAGATTTCTGTGCCTCTTATGTGAGAAGGGACAGGCTCTGGTTTCTCCTGCCTCTTCTCTTACATTGTCATTTCTTCACTGTGTTGAACTGGGAGGACTCCTCAGTGTGGAATGGGATTTTCTGCCAAATGCCATTAATGCTATTTTATCCTTGGGCCCTACAGATACTAAAAGTATTGGGTCAGTGTCTTCTGGTGGTGGTGGTGGTGGTGGTGTGTGTGTGTGAGGGGAGGGTGGAGGGGCTAGGATGGAGAGGTGTAAGAGCTGGGGAATTGAGAGTCTTTTAAAATAAGATTTTTGTTGTTGTTGGTTTTAATATCGTACCCCTAGCGCAGAGCTCAGAGTACATGTGACCCCAAAGGGAGTCCAGTTAACTTCTAAACACACACAAGGACCAGCTGTTCACTCCATGCCATCACAGTCTTATGTCTGGTCCCCTCTTGCCCCAGTTCTCCGGGGCCATAAATCCAGGCTGGAGAGGGACCAAGAAGTTTGAAATAGTGACAGATTGTTCCCTAGTCCAGAGGGCCGAGGAGCAGTGAGTTCATCCTGGAATTAGGAAGCTTGGTCTAGGTAGGGCTGGGTATGACCTAATCACTCTGGACAAAACACACAGCCTGTGACCATCCTAGAGAGAGCCCCGAGCACCGGTTGGGTCTTAGGGATTCCCCGGGTGACCTGCATTTGGCCTGGTAGTGTTATAATAGACCTCTCACACTTGTTTCTGCTTGAACTTGTCTGCCCAAGGCTGGCCTGAGATTGTGAGTGAATGACTTTGCTCTTTTCCTCAATGCTGTACTTCATTAAGAAAAAAATTCTAGCTTCTTGCAGAGAGGGGTCCGATCAGGAAACTGGTCCTGCCTAGATACAAAGAATTAGCTCCTCCTGCCCTCCTTCAGCTGTTTCTGCCTTTGTAGGGACAGGGAAGAAGAGGAAGATTTGCTGCAGAGGATTCCAGAAGGTTGCTGTGACTCTCACGGGAAAGTGGTGGAGGTTCAGCCGAGGCCGGGCTGGAGTACTTGCTGCTTGGTGGATAGCATTCTGGCCAAATCTCCACATCCCTGCTGCCACGATGTTGGGGCATAACTGTCACCAGGGTACTTTGCTCACTCACTTAGGTAATAGAGTTTCAGTCCACGAGCTTCATCTGACCCACACGTGTTACTATTAAAGGAGGGACTCAGAAAAGTTGGGCTTAAGCAGGGTCACCTCCCTATTCTTTGCTTTTCCCTATGTGTCCTTGCCGGTTGTAGAGATCTTTGGACCCTAAAGACCAAAGCTTTGCCACTGACTAATGTATCTTTCTGTTATTTCATCATAGCAATCTTGTAAGGGTTTGGGGTACAAAAGACCTTGATTAAATGTTCTGGTTGGGAGCCTGGGTGACCTGGACTATCTCCAGTAAGCAGACTTAACAGAGCAGAAGTGATGTATTTCAATGATAATAACATAAACCATGGAATCATTAAACCTGACCAACTTGACCTGTGTGCTTCCTTAATGGCATTTAGATCTGGACACAAATAGAGTGTAAATGTAAGTGGTAAATGAAAAGGATGTGGATAAACAAAGTGTGAATGTAAATGGTAAATGAAAAGGATGTGGAAAGGATAGTAATATTTCATTATATCTGTCCAGAAGCTTGAATCTGGGGAGGAATACCTCAGTGCTTTAATTGCCTCAATTACAGCACAATTTTTTTAGCCTGGAATTGTGTGTATGTGTTTGGGTATAGGCAGCTATGCTGGAAAAAGCTTTCTCATGGGTTTAAGGGGCCGGCTTGAAACTTCCATAATTACTGCTTTAAACTTTAGAAGTAATCTGTTTATGAGTGCTTTCTTATACTTCAGGGTTCATGGTATCCTGGAAAAGTTTCTCAGAACGTCTTGCTAAACTAAATGATCGTTATCATCATCATCTCTTAATTTTCTCACCTGATCCCCTTCAATGTAGGATACACTGTGATTGTTGTTATTGCTCGGTGGTTCAGGACAGAATAGAAAGATCCATAGTCACACGTGCTTTCCTCGGACGAATAATTCCATGCTTTGACTTTTGAGAAGATATTAAATGAGCAAAGAAGCAAGTCAGTTTCTGATTAATACTTTTACGTATTGATTTACAGAAGGCGGCGAATGCTCCCAGCTGAAAGGAAAAGACTTGGTGCCTTCCTACCCATAAGGACACAAGTTCCTTATCTCCACATCCCCTTCCCTCAGATACATCTTCCACTTATTTGACTGGTTTGCCTGTGCTAGATACTCTAAGAAAGGAAAGGGAGAGAGAGGAAAAATTTAGATCGGACATAGGAAAATAAATTTTCCTTGGGCTCTCGTCCCAGAATATCAGACAGTGCACGGGATGTGTTGATAAGAAAATGAGACTGAACTGTACTTGTTAATTACCACGCAATTCAGGACTGTCATTGAGAAGAAGAGATGGAGGGAGAAAAGGACGAGAAGGCAAGTTGATAACTCTGCAGCTTTCTGCTTTTTTCTTTTTTTGTCTGTCCTATTGGGTACCTCTGATCTGGGGCATAAACATCTGTATAATCACGCCCTTGATGTTTTAAGTCCCCATCTGTTACCCAGAGCTCTGAGGCTCTCAGCTTTGTCTTGTGAAGCTGCTGTCCCAGGGTTGTTTTTGTCTTTGTAACTTGTCAAGGGTGCCAGCACCTTGTTGAGCCATTTACACCCATTATATCATTTACTCCTCGCATGTGTTATTATCCCCCATTTCACAGATGAGAAATCAAAGCCTGAGAGGTTAGGTTTGCCCAAGATCATGTAACAAGTAGATGTCTGAACCAAGTCTGATTAACCCCAAAGCCAGCTTAGTTTGGATATGTGCCTGTCTTTAGGACGTGGGAGGGTCAGGGCCTGTCTCCATAGCTGACAGCTAGGGTTGGAGAGACTGATCTCTTGGCTGAGCTGGGCTGCTTCAAATGGAGAAAAAGTCTCCAACTGTAAGTTGCAGCCAAAGTTGCTACATTATAGAGCTGAACAGGCAACACTGGTTTTTCATAAGAGCCCTGGAGCTCCCTGCTCTGTCCCCCAGGTTCCAGATGACTGTTAATTTTGAAACTGGTATCATTCTAACAAAACGAGAGGTGGGTATCAGCTATTACTATAGGGTGTTCCAACCATAATTTCCAGTAAAGCTGGGGAAACAGCTTTGGAAATTGGAAGTAGAATCCTAAAGAATGGGTTACTTTGCCCAATCTTCACCCTCCTTGACTCTCCTCTCCAGTCTCTTCCCCTGCTTCTCCCAGGCAGCCTATTTACCTCCGATTGATGGTTTTGGGAGCAAGGAACTAGATTGACATTCTGAGTTGGAATCTCAGTCCAATGCCCTGCCAGCTCTGTAACCTTGATAAATGGCTTAATCTCTCTGAACTAAATTTTCTTATCATGGGAATAATGATACCTGTTCTAGGGTTATGTTCTCAGATTAAAAAGAAATTAAGTACATAAAGAACCACTACAGTATTTGAAATAAAGTAGGTACTAAAACACACTAATTTTTTTTTCCCCCAAGAATTGACAGAATTGGCAGACTGAGTTCTTCTGGATTTAAGTCCAGTGTTTCTTAGCCACAACTGTTGCTGTAAACAAAAGGAAAAATAACCACTGTCTTTTATCAGGTGCCTGCTAGGAAGCTGGAGGCTAGCATTTTCCCTACATTATTTTACTTAATCCTTACAACCGTCTTGTGAAGAAAATCTGTTTTGCAAATGAGGAAATGGAGGCTTTACAGGATGAATTGCCCAAGGCCCAGAGTCAGTGAAGGCAGGACTGGGATTCAAACACATTAATCTGAACCAAGTGGCCCAGCTCTCTGCTGTCTGTGCCGTCTCCCAGCAGAGGGCAGCGTGGAATCCTGACAGCGTGGGGCTCCAGGAATTCAGGGGCTGTGTTTCTGGCTTGGGATGGGGTTGGAGGGGTCCTTGTGCAGGTGGTCATCTCTTCAGTGGCAACCAACTGCCCTGTAAGTTCTCCAAAGCCTCATTCTTTTGTAACAGCAGAGCTCTTTCACATGGAAAATTGTGAAACGGACTTTCAGTTTTATGTGAGTTTGAGTAGTGCCAGCCTGTGTTTCCTGGGGCCCAGATCTCCTGAATAACCTAAATAGCAAAGGTTCTGACAAACCTACAGGGCAGGGAGCCCACAAGAGTGAAGGCCGCTTGGAGGCCAGTGACCCTCATGAGTAGGAAACCCTGTTCCTTGACTTCAGCAAGGAGACCATCTCTGGTTCACTGTAAATTCATCTATCCCTGTAGGCTACCTCCGAGGGACCAAACATTCTCTTTCATATCTGAGAGAATGAGTCTGAACACTGACACCACTTTATATGAATATGTTTTTAAATGCAGATTACATGCAAATTTTTTATGAGGCGAGGCTGTGCTGCCCATACAGCCAAATTATTTTGGGGGTTAGTGTTCAGAGCAGAGTCTGTTATCTTTCTCTTAGTTCAATGGCTGTCAGGTTTTAAAAACGAAGCCTCCGCCTGGGGAATTTCATCCCCCTTTGGGTGGGCATCCATGTCGAGCATCATGTATTGTCCACTGGAATGTCTGCCAAAATTGGAGCCTTAGCCAGCTGAGGGGAGATTTGGAGGAGTCTGGAGGCCAAGTCTGTTTGTGTTGGTTTTGAACACCTACATTGGATCACCTGGTCAGTTTTTATTTCCCAAACCTAGGATCCTTAGGCACACGGTTTCCTCCACCTTCAAAGTCCCTCCTCTCCCCACCCACCCCAATGCAGCCCTCTGCAGTATGGTCCTGTCCTTTCAAACTCAGCTGCAACATCACTCCCTCTAGGCTGATTTTTCTGACACCCAGGGATGCTCAGGTACTTCCCGGAGGTACTTCAGCACTTCATTCCTACAATCTTGGCACAGTCGTTTCTTGTACTTTCATTTTAATATTTACTTCTCTGTTTCCTTGACAACTCTCTAAACTCCTCAAGGTCATGTCCCAGGCCCCACTCATCTTTGTGCTCTGAGGACTTGTCATAACTTGACACATACTAAGTGCTCAATAAATAGCTGAAAGAATGAACATGAGACAGAAGATACCAATCTTGCACGCTCAGAGCGAAAGATTTAGTGTTTCCCGGTGTTGCTTTCCCCTACTGTGCTGTTTTCCCACTAGTTTTCTCTTTGGCCATTTCAGTGGATGCGCTGTTTCTCTAGGTCTCTGGGAATATGACTAGAGTTGACTCTAGGTAAAATAGCTTCTTTCGGTTGTTAGAGGAGTTCGGGAGCTAGGCCTGGTACCATCAGGGAATCCTCTCCAGAGCTATGAGGAAGATCACTGAGAAAAGGAGGATACAGGATGTGGCAGGTGCTCAAAGGCTCAGGCGCCAAGGCAAACCGTGGGCCTCAGGTCTTGCTGCAGCTGAGCACCCCTGCAGGGAGCTTCTGGCCATGTGCCCCTATATTTAAGGGACCCCTGTACTTGAGGGGTTTGTAGAATAGGCACCTCCATTACCTTATTTCTCAAGGAGACTCTGAGGAAGTCTTCAGGACTGAGGCCAAGGGACGGTGGGAATCGCAGGCAGCCGTTCTCTTGATGTCCGAGTCTTCCCTCTCCTCTCCTGCTGCTGTTCCTGGGTCTCTTAAAGAGATGCAAGAAGGGAAAAGGAAGAGATCCAGGAGGGTGGTGCTGTTGATGCAGCCAACTAAGGATAACTTACCCAGGAACCCCCACCCATGGGTGCTGGTGTTTATGAACCTAAATTTTAACCTACTTGCAGGGGCAGCCTGGAACATTGAGGTTATATCACTATTTGCTCAATTCAGCAAACATATAATGAACTTCTACTTTATCCCAGGCACTGTGCTGAGCACTGGAAATATACTGTATCAATGCTTAGCACAGGATATAGGCTCAAAGATTAATGACTGTAACTCAGTGTGACAAGTGCTATAATGGAGGCGTAGAAGGGAAAGACAGGACATTGAACTCAGTCTGCAAGGAATCAGGGAACTAACGTGAAAGTGACACTTACATGGAGCTTTGCAAGACTAGGACTGACTGGCATTAGCCACATGGACGGGCAGTGGTGGTGAGAATGGGCGTGGGGACATGTAGCAGATACAGCAGATTAGCTCATTCAGCACTCTTTCTGTCTTCCTTTTGATTCAGTCTTCCCGAACTGCAGAGACAAGAAAGCTAAAAACAATGTTTGTCAGTTTCTTTTGCAACTAGGATTCCAGAGGGACTTGAGGCTCTCCCTGAGATTGGAATTAGGAGGTGAGTCTAGTGGGTGGCATGCACAGCTTCTGTTTTTCTGCCACGGCTCTAACAGACACACGTGGCTCTAGAGCCAGCAGGTTCTGTGTCCTCCTGTCCCCAGATCCTGGCAAAGGGGGTGTGACTCCTAGGTTCCAACCTGAGCAACCAGGAGTGGGATGGTGCCCAGCTCAGAGAAGAAAGGAGATGACTTCAGGGTGAAGGGTATTACGTTCAGGGCACACTTGGGTAGAGATGTCTAAAAAGTTAGAGAACTCAAACTTTTTTTTTAACAGGAGAAAATCAAAGTTTAATAACATGTATACACAGGAAAGACCCAGGAAAACAGAATAACTCCTCAAACATTTCTTTTTTTAATGTACTATTTCTTTGGTGAATTTACACGTGAGGTCATTTACAAAAGACAAGATGCAGACAGATGCAGCTTTCAGTGCATTTTCAAATATTTCTGAGAACGGGCAATAAATAGTCCATGAGGATTCGGAGGATAGTATTGAATGGCACGTGCTTTGGTTTATGTTGTGGTTTTTCTTCCCAACCCCAAAGGGCAGGAAGGGAAAAAAGTAGAGGAAAATATCACTGTTAAGGTAATGATGCAGGTAAAAACTTTTTAAAGTCAGAGGTTATTCAGAGACATAGAACATTTCTGTATTCAGCAGTTATCGTAGTAGGGGTATAATTTAAGAACTAAAATGCAGAGCTCTCAAGCTTTCCAATATCCAAATCATCTTAAACTTACGTTAGCTGCTCCCACTAATTAATTGGAGGTCCCCTCAACTGTCATAGAGTTTGGGAACTCAAGAGTCCAGCGTGGAGTAGAGAGAAAGATTTGGGTGTCTGTGGTGTGACACAGGCATCGTGCGCATACGATTACTCAGGGGGATGTGTAGAGTTTAAAGTGAAGTGGGCTGACAGTGGGGCTTACCCACTTTAAGAAGACCTTTTTGGAAATAATTTCATATTTGCTGGAAAGTTTCCAGAACAATACAAAGGACAATCATATATTCTTTACCTAGACTCATTTGTTGTTCCCATTGTGTTCTATTTGCTTTATCCTTTGCTCTCTCTCTCTATACACACACACATATATATATTTTTTGGGTCATTTGACAATAAACTGCATACATCCTGGCCCTTTGCTCTTTACCAGTGACTGTTTCCTAAGAGCAAGGATATTGTCTTATGTAACTACAATGTAGTTATCATCTTCAGTTAATTTAAAGTCTGTACAATTCTATAATCTAATCCACCATCTGCATTCCAATTTGTTGGTTAACCCAGTAATATCCTTTATAGGATTTCCCTTCTAATAGAGGATCCTGTCCAGGATCACATACTGCATTTAGTGGTCACGTCTCTTTTGTCTCCTTTAATTTGGAATAGTTCCTCACCTTTTCATTGTCTGTTATGACAGTGACATTTTAAGAGAATACAGCCTTCCCCCACTTTTTAAAATAGAAGGTTCCTCATTTTGAGTTTGGCTGACACTTTTTCATGATTAAATTCAGATTATGCATTCCCTGCCAGAATGTTGTGTCTGTGATGCTGTGATTGTCAACTGAAAGAAAAACATATAACATAAGAACTGTAAGTTTAAGATTTATTCAGGGTCTTACTGAGAACTGTAGCTCAGGAGACAGCCTTTCAATGGCTCCGAGGGGACTGATCTAAAGGGAAAGGGGAGAAGCCAGTGTATTTATGATTTTTGGTTGGGGACAATATGTGATCAAGCATACACCTTGGTAAAAGGTTACTGCTAGTCACGAGGAATAGATATCTTAGTTATTGATTTTAGTGCTTTACTGTGTTTGGGAAGATGCAAGAATCTGGGTTCAAAAAGACTTCCTGAGATACACATCTCACTGTCAAAGAGACCTGTTTTTCCAAAGCACAGAGCACTTCATCTGTTTTTCATCCTGAATCCCTCCGAGGGTGTCATTGACTATAGGGGCTAGTGACTTAAACCTTGTACAACTGGATGGTGAGCAACATTCTTTGTTTTATGTGCTCTTCTCAGGGTATCACTCCCAGAGGCAAATTACCATCTGTTCCTCATTGGTGACATTAATTTTTTTAATTGAAGTATAGTTGATTTACAATGTTGTGTTAGTGTCTGGTGTACAGCACAGTGATTCAGGTACATCTGTATGCATACATAGTCTTTTTCATTACATGTTACTAAAAGCCATTGAATGTAGTTCCCCGTGCTATACAGTAGGACCTTGTTGTTTATCTATTTCATATGCACAAATCCCAAACTCCCAGTTTATCCCTCCCTCCCCTGTTTCCCCCCTGGTAACCTTAAGTTTATTTTCCATGTCTATGAGTCTATTTCTGTTTTCTAAATAAATTAATTTGTGTCATTTTTTTAAGATTTCACATATAAGTGATATCATGTGATATTTGTCTTTCTCTGACTGACTGACTTCACTTAGTATGATAATCTCTAGGTCCATCCATATTGCTGCATATGACATTATTTCATTCCTTTTTATGGCTGAGTAGTATTCCATTGTATATTGATACCACAACTTCTTTATCCATTGATCTGTCAATGGACATTAGGTTGCTTCCATGCCTTGGCTGTTGTAAACAATGCTGCTATGAACACTGGGGTGTGGTGATATTAATTTCAATACTCAGGTAAGGTGTCTGACTTCTTCACTGTATAGTTAAAATGTTCTGCTTTGCTACTAATACACAATCTATGGGGAGACACTTTTAAGTCCATGCAGATATCCTGCTTCTTATCAAAATTTCCCCCCTAAATTTAACATCAACTTATGATAATCCAGTCTTTGCTATGATGGTTGAAAAAGAATGATTTTCCAACTCCAGCAACTGCTGCTACATTTAGCTTTCGGTCCTTAGCATTTTCTAAGCAAGAGCCCTGCTTTCTCCATTACTTATTTAATACTTATTTATTTACTATTAGTGTGGACTGATGGATTTCTATTTTTCAGTGGCTTATAACTTGCTATTTTACTTAATTATTTTGGCTCAAATTTCCCCAGATTTGGTAAGAGTCCCCTAAAACTCCTGTGTTCTTGTGATATGCCCCCATCATTTTACGGAGTATTGTCTTATTTTCTGGCATGAAAACATGTTTCTGGTTCTATGCCCTAGTCTTGGAATCAGCTATTTCTCTGGGGATTCCTGGTTCTTTTTAGTGGAGACTGGCATTAGAAACTAATATCTATGAGCTACATGAGCTCATTGCTGCTGCGGTTTCTTTGTTTCTAGGTCCTTCCAGCAGACTGACTTAGGACATACATGCATATATAATACATACACGTGTACACATGCAGCTATACACACACATGTCACTCTTTAAAAATTGCAAGTTTATACCAATATCTTCGATTCCAATCCATTTCCAATCAGTTTTTCCTTACCATCCCCCCATTCTGTATAAGTATTTCATTTCTTCTACAGCAAGGACCCTAGGGTGGAGCCCTTTAGTATTTCATTAACATTGAATGTTTCATTAACTTTTAAAAAGTAGGCAGAGTGAAAGAGCACACAGAGGCAGATGAGGAACAACCAGAAAAGGAGGGGAAAACCAGCAGAGACGGTGTCAAAGAATTCAAAGGAAAAATGGGTTTTATCACGAAGAGCCCTCAGACTCATCAAATTTAAATCACTTTACAACAAGATTTTGAAAAGCTTTTAAACATTCACGCATATATTCGTGCTTTGTAACACAGCAACTGTTTTCATTCTGATGCTCCCTTCAGTATCCGTCCACAGGAATACTTGCCTTTATGCCGTGCAATGGTAACAATACGCGTTATAATTTGGTGCTTTGCTTTTTGCTTGAGGTAATCTTGTAGCATCTGCTCACTTTCTACGAGTCCTCCCACCCTTCATTCTGACCTGTTTTATTGGCTGTACTGATCAAGGACGGAAGAGACCTCCTTTCTTCCGGCTTCTGTGGCTTCCTTAGCCAGTCACTCCTTTCCCTTCATCTGCTCACTCTCCCACCGCTCTGCTGAAAAGACAGTGATCTCACTTACGTAATAACATTTGCTAAGATTAAAACATGTGGAATTGCTGATATTCAGCCCGTAACAACAGCAACTTCATATGGCTTCAGTCTAATGAGAAATATACTGTATCAGTGTTTAGCACAGGATATAGGTTCAAAGATTAATGACTATAATTCTGTGTGGCAAGTGCTATACTGGGTACTGTATATACATGTAAAAGACCTGATTTAAGAGCGTCTCTATGCTATTAATTTAATCATCATTAATCATACCTTATGAGGTATTATCATCATCGTATCTGAGGAAACAGAGGCAAAGAAAGGTTAAAGAACTTGCCCATAGCTAGCAAGCAGCAGGTGCAGGATTTGGGCTCGGGAAGTCTGGCTTCAGAGTCCAGGTTCTTAATCATTACATTCTGATGTCCCTCTAGAATGACATCACTAACCTTAAAATAACCAAATCCAAGCTTGTTAAGGGAGCTGGAGCCAGTCTCCTTGTTAACTGAGTGCAGGTGCCCTGTGTTTCCCCCTCTTAGATTGTTTTCTGATGTATGTGTGCTTTTCCCCGTAGATGTCAAGGCCGGAGGCTAGGGAGTGGGCCTGCTCTTCACCCCTTCGTGCCAGGCGCCTTGTGCAGTATGCAGAGTAGATGTGCCCTCAATACTCATTGAAGGAAGGAAGGAAGGAAGGGAAGAGCATGGGGAGGGTGGAAGGTGGAAGTGGGGCCATCGATTGGAGACTGGGAAGGCAAGTGAGATGAACTAGAGAATGTCTGACTTGTGTAGAGAGTTGGACTTTGAGGGGCCACAGACAGGGTAGAGTTTTCTACTTCTGGCATCCAGTGTGGGACAGTTCAGAGGGATGAGTTCAAGCCAAAGATTCATAGTGTCAGTCAATGGTGAACCCCTGGCCAGCAGGGTTCAGAGGAGGGTGCAGGCTGGGCAGGAGGGGAGAGCCAGTGAGGAGGACTCCCTTGAAGGAGGAGTCTACAGTCTGAGAGTTCCCTTTTGCTCTGGGAACCATGAGTGGTGCAACATTAGGTCTGGAGTACCTAGACCTGCCTGCTACCTACCAGACTTCAGGTCATTGTTTATAAGCCCAAGGTAGAAACTTTCAACGAACTTAATGTCCTTGAACTCTTTCTGTAAGTGCTAGATATGGGGGTAGAATGCCTGCAAACGTACAGATGTCCTTAGGAAATTGGGCTTTTGGTTTCTAGCACCCTGGACCCAAGTTCTTTGAAAGAGTAAGATATTAAAGGCTGAGGACCACTCTTGGAAAAGAGAAAAACAAGATGCTGACTCTGTCATTCTCTGTCTCTGGGAACTTCTTTGTGACTCAGTGTTTTTCAGTCTGTCCAAAAGGGGAGCAATTCATTTGCATAGCTTCTCAAAGTTATTGTGATGACTTTCTGTTTGTTTATTAATCAAATCAAACAGTATATTGAAAGTTCTTAGAACAGTGTAAAGTACTATAAAATGTAATTATTATTGTTTGACATCATATATACTAGATACCATAAGACAATGATAAATTAAGTATATGTTGGTGAACTCTCACCTACACCCACTTTGGCTTCCCATCTCACTGTCTTCCTGAGTAGATTCATACTTTTCAAAGGATGGGGTAGGGAAAATATTAGTATATGTATTGACTTTCTCTTGCTGCCATAACAAATTATCACAAACTTAGTGGCTTTAAAACAACACAAGTTAATCAGCTTACAGTTTCTGAGGTCAGAAGTCTGAAAGGATGTCTCACTGGGCTCAAACCAAGGTGTCAACAGGCACATAACATTTTTTTTTAAATGGAGTTACCGGAGGATTGAATCCAGGATCTTATGCTCACTAAGAATGCACTCTACCACTGAGCTCTACCTTCTCCCAAGATGTTAGCAGGGCTCTGTTCCATTCTGGAGGATCAGTAGGAGAATCTGTTTTCTTGCCTTTTCCAGCTTCTGGAGGATACCGGTCCCCTTACTCCATCTTCAGAGCCAGCAATGTTAGATCCCTCTGTGCCTTTCTCCTATAGCCACATCTCCCTCTAACCCTCTTCTGTCTCTCTCTTCCACTCTTAAGGACCCGTGTGATTACATTAGGCCCACCCGGATAATCCAGGATAATCTCCGTATTTCAAGGTCACTTAGCAACTTTAATTCCCCTTTGCCATGTAACCTGTTCTGGAGATTGGGACAAGGACATCTGTGGGGGGGATATTATTCTGCCTACCACATTATCTATTTTGTAAATATTTTATTTGGAATGAATTTTGGCACAAGTGAAAGTGGAAAATCAAAATTCTTCCTAACCTGTTGGTAATAAGGGCTTCCAGCATTACTGGGTAATTCCTAGCAGAATTCTTTTTCATGGGAAACCAGCAACACCTAGTGTCTCTCCAAATACATTTCAACAGAAAACATAAAGTTCTGTAATTAAAAAGGTAGAACAGAAGTTGCAGCTCAGTGACTGGTTGTCAAAAAAAGGATATTCTCACTACTCACAGAGGGAGACAGCTGGTGATCCTCTTTTCTAAACAATGTTCTTTAGACAGCGTGAGCCCATGCATATATCTAGAAGTATTTAAGTTAATCCTGT